AAGCTTACAGGAGTGTGAAATACCATCTCAGCGCCAGGCCCAGCTGCCCCGCCCCTGTTGGCAACGCGATATGCGTTGGCGGGGTCAGGCACAGCTATCTGAGGGTAGAGACCAGCAGCAAGGACAACCTTGAGGAGCAGAAGGTCGCCATGGGTGCGTCGACGGTGGTGATCGGCCCACCGCGAGAGACCCTCAAGATCGTGGCACAGTATCAACTCAAGGTCACGAACTGACAAGCTCGTGCCCTCTAATGAGGCTCCCAGATCGCCTATTCTTCGGCCGTCCTTACGACCGCGTAGCCAACTATGCAGACGAGAAATGCTCGAGGCGGTGATTGAACTGGTGCTTCCCTCACCCTCCGCATTTTCTCCACTATCATCACCGCTTTCAGCATCGTCCTAGGATGAGAGATGAGCAGTGGTGTAAATTAGAATGATAAATATAAGGGCAATACTGATAGCTGCTTTGATCGCGTTTAAATATTACTCATACTTCTCCAATTTATTATAGTACTAATTACTACATTTAATAACCAATTGACCAAGTTTTCTATATTTCTAAGCTCTCGTTGGTTCTCAGATTGAGCTGACAATGTCAAGATTTATCTAAAAAACAAGCGCTTATGTGACGTCCTAGTGAGGTAATCGAGACTTACCCAAGTAGGCTTCCGATTCTCTAGCATGAAGTAGGATAATAAAAGGAACATAACCACTTATGTGTCCCTATAACCTCGGAATGCTTTTACTTCAATGACGTAATAAGAGTTTACAAAATAAGTTCAACTTTACGTTCACTTTCACTCTTCCTCTCCCAACTTTCCGACGAACACTAGCTTTAAGTTTTAATTTATTTAAAAAATGTGTTCATTGTATTGTCTACAACGTCGAAAACTATGTGTAACAGTGAATACAAAAAATATCGCACATCTCAAACTTAGGATTCCAGCAAAAAAACAGCCATCTGCTGTTAATCGGAACACCACCATTGCCCATGAAGACGGTCGAAAATACCTCACTATTGTAATAACCGGCACCCCGTAGGCGTTTAGACAAAAAATGCTGGCCTTGTACAAGTGTTGAAGCGAACAGAAAATGAAGTTACTAAAGCTTATTTTATTGGTAGACTACATCGAAGGCAGTTATGCACACGTTCATATAAGGTTGGGAAAGGAGCACCTCAAATCAGTGAAAACCTTGACCACAAGAGTACGAATGCTGAAGTCATTCACCAGCAATCAAATCTAAATGGTTAATTCGCAAATAAATGACAAAGTAGTTAAGTTTTCTCCACAAACCACCTGATACATTTGCTCAGAAGCAATTACTGAGAGGCGGAATTGATTGACAAATTTTAGTTACGGAGTATCTGGATAGCATTTGGGATATTGAGGTCAAGACGCATAAAGTAGAACCAAGTCATAATCGTTTCTGCAATGAACAGCATCAGTAGTGTGAAAAAACTACCCTAGCAATCTTAGCAAAACCGCAAGAAAGTCAAATCAGTACTTAAATTTGGATGGAAATATAGTTAGCTCATTTCAAAAGTTAAAAAGGGCTACATTGCATCTATGACAAAGTATTCTTCGGAGTAACCTTAAGAACGAACAGAAGTTAGGAGTATTTGATTTCCATACAATAGTAATTTAACTCATTTTGACAGAAAAGAAGCCACAAATGCATAAAGCAACTATTCAATGATTAGTGTCATAAGGTCAGTGAGTCACACTACTCTTGCCGATCAAGTGACTTTCTAGTGCACATTGACACGCCGTTACAAACATTGCTTTAATCATACAAATGCAAAGTTAGGAGTAAATTGAGCGTTTGTAGGTGAAAACACCTAAGCACGCCCAAAGTAGATCATGATGACGAAGCAAAAGAGCAACATTCACTAACATTGTCTTGTAGAGTTAGCATCCGCCTTCGCTTGCCTTTCAGATGCTCTCGATGGCGGGCTTGTTGCAGAAGTCTTCGATGGTTGCTACCAGTTGCAGTTTTGTCTCCATTCTTGTCGTCAGTCACGTAGAGGCCAGCATCCTTCAGCAGCTGGAGAAACTGACCGCGTAAACGGACCATTTCATAAAGACGCTGCTCTTCTAGGCCCAGTCGCCGAGCCCAGCGCTGCGCCGAGGTATTCTGCTGATCCTCCACCGTCTCCTCTAAATTATCGCGGCGAAGGAGACCAACGCGAGCTGCCGAACGCGACTTGATCTGTTAAAAGGAAGTAAGGATTGAATGGAAATAGGCCCAATCGCCTAATACTGAAAGTATGTCTTTGAAAAGAATGAAGATCGAAATTGAGTAACAGGGAATAATTGCGTAAAAAGTCAATCTAGGCATCCTCATTCTACGTCTTCTCATTGAATTTAGTTTTTCTAAGGCATGTTTGCAGCCAAAAGGCATTTGAAGATTCCAAAAACACGGATTCGAATAATAAAAGCACTGATCAATTCATACAGATACATGTTCAGTGAATAAATAATTGTCCCAAACTGTTTGAGTACTTCTACCAACAAGGAAAAAAGGACTTGAATAATTGCTTGAGAAAGAGTAAATCCAGCTAAACCCGCAAACTGCATCAAGCTGGCTTCATAAGAACGTTTCGCACGGTCGAAAATTCTCCGAAAATGTAGACCACTTTGGAATAAACCGGACTAAAATAAGTAAATATAAAGGACTAAAATTGTTCAACAAGACCGCTAGAGCATTCCAAACACCGGTGCAACTGAAGTTTGCGAGTAGCTTATTTCATAGGCACAAATCACGTAGCCACAGATAAATTTCGAGGATGTGAAATGGATAGAAGCCTCGGCCCCATATTCTTTCTTCACAACTGCTACTATTATACGTTTGTTGTAAAAAACGTCATGTTGTATTCTTATTCATACAATTCCATACAATCAGGATGACCAGAGACCTGCAGCCACTCATCAAAGAGATCGGCTATCATGAAGGGCGTGCCATGATCATTTTCAAAGGGTCGGAGAGCCTCCGCCTGCCGAAGACGAGACTCGCCGCTGCGCGCGGCACCCACGGGACTTTGAACGGCCATACCGGTGGCGAGAGTTAGCACTGGCTCCACCAGTCGAAAAAGCGATGCCATTACCAACACCCGCCCGATGCTCAGCTCCACCGGCAGCTCCGCCAACAGTCTACCCAATGGAGAGATCACAATTCGCTCTACACCGTTGACGGTTCCCTCAGTCCACCGTACCGCGGCGCCGTGGGACTGTTTAATAAAGTAATTAACAGTAAGATTCGTTGAAAATGCTTGTCGTGCCGTAATCCTCATTCTAATCGTGCAGAATATTGACTATATAGCCTAATTTCTTGAACTCATGCGTTTTTTTGAATTCTGGA